TTGGACGGTTGTTGTTTCTGGAGTAGCAGAACCAGCAACAGGTGATATGCTGACAAATGCACAAAAGACAAAACTTGAAGGGCTGAAGTTAAAGGATTTTAAAGCAAAAAATTATCTCTTCCAATCTATTGATCGCTCAATCTTGGAAACTATTCTTTGCAGAGATACATCCAAACACATTTGGGATTCCAGACTATTTTTCAAGAACGATGACAATCGTTAACAAGATACGGATCTATGGCGACAAGAAAGAAGATATTCTCATTGTTGAGAAGATTCTTCGATCATTGACACCAAAATTTAATTTTGTTGCTTGTGCTATAGAAGAAGCTAATGATGTTGGTTTATTGTCAATTGATGAGGAAGAGGAAAATCACTTCACATCAAGCAGATATGATAGAGGACGAGGAAGATGTAGAGGTCAACATAGAGGAGTTAGAAACAACAATGATCGTGAGAACCAACAACGAAATCGTCAGAGTCAATTTCAAGGAAGAGGCAGAGGACGTGGAGGCCACCACTCAACAACCTATAGATCAAAGTCAGCAGAGAAGTCAAATGTTGAATGTTTCAGATGTCATAGGTATGGTAATTATAAATCAGAATGTCAAACTGATTTTAATAAATAAAGTGGAGATCAAAGTAACTTTGTAGAAAAGGAAGAATAATTGTCTCTTTTGATGGTGTGCTACATGATGGAAAAGGCTCAACAAAATATGTGGTATTTAGACACTAGCTGCAGCAACCACATGTGTGGAGAAAAGAAGACATTTTCTGACTTGGATGAATCCTTTCGGAGCTCTGTTAAGTTTTGTGATAGCTCCAAAATTTATGTTATGGGAAAAGGAAAGGTAACGATCCAAACCAAAGAAAATTTCACCCACACTATTGCTAATGTTCTTTTTGTGTCTGATTTAAAAACCAACTTGCTTAGTGTGGGTTAGTTACAAGAAAAGAGATATGAGATTTTTATCAAAAATGGAGTATGTAAAATTCATGATGCAAATTTGGGCTTAATAGCTAAGTTAACATGACGGCAAATCGTATGTTCCCACTATATCTCAACAACAAATTCCTGCTTTTCGGCAAAATTAGAAGATGAGGCATGGTTATGAAACTTTCATTATGGGCATCTGAATTTTGGCGGATTGAAAACATTACAGCAAAAAAGCATGGTGACGGGGCTTCCTAAAATTACAGCTTCTTCTCAAGTTTGTGAAGAATGTGTTGTAAGCAAACAACATCGTAATCAATTCCCACAAGGAAAATCTTGGAGAGCAAAGAAAGCATTGGAGCTTGTTCATTCTGACATTTGTGGGCCAATAACACCACATTCTAATGGAGGTAAAAGATATGTAATTACATTTATTGATGATTATAGTCAGAAAACTTGGGGTTTTTTTTTGGAAGAAAAATCTGAAGCCTTTGTAGCTTTTAAAAGATATAAAGCGCTTGTTGAGAAAGAAGTTGGCAACCCAATAAAAGTTCTTCGCATGGATCGTGGTGGAGAATATAACTCACATGAATTTGCAAATTTTTGTGAGAATAATGAAATTAAGAGACAGCTTACAACAGCTTATACACCCCAACAAAATGGTGTATGTGAGAGGAAGAATCGCACTATTATGAATATGGTGCGAAACCTTTTGACAACAAGTGATGTTCCAAATTTTTTTTGGCTTGAAGCAGTTAATTGGAGCACTCATATATTGAACAGAAGTCCTACATTTGCTGTTCAAAATATGACACTAGAGGAAGCATGGAGTGGAAGGAAACCTGCTGTAGATTATTTCCGGATTTTTTGGTGTATTGCCTATGTCCGTATTCCAGATCAGAAGAGGAGAAAGCTAGATAACAAAGGAGAAAAATGTATTTTTCTTGGTGTTAGCGATATGTCAAAAGCTTATAAATTGTACAATCCTAGCACCATGAAAATTGTCATTAGCCGTGATGTAATATTTGATGAAAAATGCACATGGTCATGGAATCAAAATGCTGTTAAAGAAAGTATTCCAACAGATTTTGATGACGAGGAGAATGGGTAGCAACCTATATAAAATGAGGAAGAAGATGAAGTCACTCAAAATGTTCCAACTGATCAAAGTCCAATTACAGCTGAATCACGAAGGTCTCAACGTGTTCAAAGAAGACCAGCATGGATGGTTGATTATGAGGTAACTGGAGTTGACCAAGGTGATGACCCAATTATACATTTTGCTTTATTTTCAGATTGTGATTCTACCATCTTTGAAGTTGTTGTTAAAGAACCAAAATGGAAAAAGGTTATGGATGCTGAAATTACAGCAATTGAAAGAAATGACACATGGGAGTTATGTGATCTTCCAAAAGGGCACAAGACAATTGGTGTAAAGTCGATTTACAAGACAAATCTGAATGAAAATGGTGAGGTTGACAAACACAAGGCACGCTTGGTAGCTAAGGGCTACAAGCAAGAGTTTGGTGTTGATTATAAAGAAGTATTTGTTCCGGTTGCAAGGCATGATACAATCAGATTGGTGATTGTTATGACAGCTCAAAAGTCATGGCCTATTTACCAGTTAGACGTGAAATCAACATTCCTCCATGGAGATTTGCAAGAAGAGGTATTTATTGATCAACCTCCTGGTTATGTAAAGCTTGGCAATGAACATAAAGTGTATAAGTTAAAGAAAGCTCTATATGGATTAAAACAAGTTCCAAGAGTTTGGTATAATCGTATAGAAACTTATTTTTTGAAGGAAGGATTTCAAAAATGTCCTTATGAACATACACTTTTTATAAAGACTGAAGATGAAGGAAAATGCTCATTGTTTGCTTATATGTAGATGATTTAATCTACACTGGAAATAATATAGATATGTTTGAAATTTTTAATAAATCTATGATGGCTGAATTTAGATGTATGATCTTGGTATGATGCATTACTTTCTTGGCATTGAAGTGGTGCAATCTTCTACTGGAATTTTTATATCTCAAAAGAAGTATGTGCGAGAAATTTTGGACAGGTTTCATATGAATGATTGTAATCTTGTAAATACTCCATCTGAGTTTGGTATGAAGCTAAACAAAGATGATGGAAGAATGAAGGTTGATGACACTATTTACAAACAAATAGTTGGGAGTTTAATGTATTTGACAGCAACAAGACCTGATATAATGTATGTTGTAAGTGTGATTAGCAGGTACATGGAATGTCCAACAGAGATTCATCTTTTAGTTGCAAAAAGAATTTTTCGTTACTTGCAAGGTACTAAGGACAATGGTTGTTCTACAAGAGTGTAGAAAAGTCAGATTTGTTTGGGTTATATAGTGATTATGCAGGAGATTTAGATGATCGGAAAAGTACATCTGGATATGTTTTCATGATGAAAATAGCAGTTGTTTCATGGTCATCAAAGAAGCAACCTATTGTTACATTATCATCCACTAAAGCTGAATTTGTTGCTGCAACAGCTTGTACTTGTCAAGCTATCTGGCTATAGAAAATCCTTAAAGAGCTGCATTTTAAGGATGATGGACCTACTCAGATTTATTGTGACAATAATTCAGCAATAAAGCTTTCAAAAAATCCAATTTTACATAGTCGAAGCAAACATATAGATGTGAAATATCATTTTTTGAGGGATCTCACAAATGATGGAGTCATTAATCTTAGTTACTGCCAGAGTGAAAACCAGATTGCTGATATTCTAACCAAATCTCTCAAGTTTCCTGCATTTCAGAAACTCAGGATGATGCTTGGTGTTTGTACTTCAAAGTTTTAAATTTGAATGATGAGGTTTCAAAGTCTTGCTCTTATTAAACTGGATGTGTGCTAGAACATCAGTTTAAGGGAGAGATTGTTGAGAAAATTAATAATAAACATCTTTTGGTTTCCTAGTATTTAGGATTGCCAATAATGTCTTGCTCTTATTCGCCTATTTATAAGCTGTCTTGTTTTATCAATGAATAAGTAAGTAAACATATATTCTCTGCTTCTTTCTATTGTTAACAATTCTTTCAAGCATTTTATCAAACATTAGAGAGTTAGAAAACAAGAATTGAAATACAAAGAAATGAAAGACAAAATAGCCTCATATTTTCTCAGAATTTAATGCACACAACTATGGGAAAGTGAAAATAACATAGAAAAGATTATAACAATAATCCAAAGAGAGTCAGAACACAATGAAGTCAATTTCACTCATATTTTTTAGCATGGCGATTGAGTACAGAATTAAAAATGCTTCAAATAATTGTAAATCTATAAAGTGCCAGGACACAAGAAATGGAGTACAATGAAATAAAAAATGAAAACATAGAATATAATAGAAAAATGAAAAGCTATATGAGAGTAGAGTATAAAAAACGAAAGATGAAAATAATAGAAAACATGATAATATAATAAAAAATGTGATATAGTTTCTACTCACCTCTTAGCCGTAGGATAATCAGTTACCAAATTTGATTTGGATTTATTTGAACCCTAGTTTGAGAAATATGATTTACTCTTTTAAAAGAAAAGAGAAAAGTTGTATTTTTTTGAAATAAAATGTAGTTTAGTATTTTACTCAATCACTTTAACTTTCGGATAACAATGTTAGATCAAAGGGAGGTATGTGTAAGTGTAAAAATGGGAAGAGTAATATGTGTAGTTTCATTAAAACTGAGGGAGGTCCGTGTAATTTTGTTACTCAGCAAAGGTTGAGATTTTAACCATTAAATAACTTTGGACACAAGCACGATCCTAGACTACCCACTAATACCATACTCGAATCCTTTAGAACTCTTAATCTATTAGTTAAAAGTTGAATTGCTACGGAAGTTACTGATGAGAAATTCAACACAATAACAATAAAAACTCTAACATAGTATATGCAGCGAATAATAATTTCCCAAACTTGCTAGAATCTATGAGGAGCAATAACAAACAATGGCAACAACTAAAATCACTCAAGGGACACCAAAATTTTAATGTGAAAAACTTTCCCAATATGAGAAGTAAAAACCACGAGCACAAGTTAGTCAATCAAGCTCCACTATGATCAAAATAGGAATACAAGAGTGTCTCAAAAGTAAAGCACAATCTGTGCTCAACAACAAGGCATACAATAAAGTAACAAGCTTGAAAACGAGAACAACTAAGCAGCAACATGCAGAATGAGTTATCGTCTCTTCTCTCTCACTTTTCTATTGCATCTTTTGTGACATAAAAGACATGACTCTAGACCTACATATGACTTGGCGAAAGGCACCGCCACCACCGGCCAAAGTAAAGCAAGGGAGGATGACACCACTTTCCACCGAGATCCTTACCTTCTCAATGAACTGCCTTCATTCACCTTGAAGAACCCCATCCTTGATGCTATACATGTTTTGATTCACATGGTGGTGCCCCTTTTCCAATAAAAGGGGAGCCTCAGGTTTCCCAACGGGATAAATTCCAGGTGCTACCCTCCCATCAGAGCTCTACCCGAAACTATCCCATATTCCAATGCTTGAAGGACGACTCAAGCGAGCTGAAGAGGACCCAACCATTCTTTGATTGAATACAGGTCCAACCCCAAAATATCCAGAAGAAAGTCTTCACCGAACATGGTACACCTTGAATCTTACAAAACAACTCAAATGCTCAGAAGAAGCCCAGGAGTTGGGATGTAGTTGTGATGGGGCTACTTTTAGATGGGCGAGGACAACCATATACTAGTCATTGAGTGACAAATCAGAGGCCAACCTTTCTAAAGTATGTGGAGCGAATATAGAGGAACTTTCCATTTCACTGTTGAACTCCATGATCATTACTCATGGACGAGTCCCCACATGTAAACAACAAAACAACCAACTATATGTTTCCTCTTGTTGTTTTTTAAAACTAAAGTATGTATAATATTTCTATTGTAATTCCTTATGGGATCAACATAACCCTATACTATACGATAATTGAATCTAGAAAGAGATTTGAGACTTAACATAGTAAAGGACATATCCTTGTAAATAAATTTTGTTTGTTGAAAATAAAACTCATGATACTCAAATCTCGTTTCAACACAGTGTTAGAGCAAAAACACGCGTCTATGTTATACGTTTCAACCCACCAAAATTATTCTTCCAACTATTGTTCTATCTAATATATTATTTTGTATTTGATCAATCTTATCCCATGTTCAACTATCATTTCTATCATCTTCTAAAATCAATAAGTTATATTAGAGCTACATTCAGTCATTTACTAAGCGTACACACTACTACTATTACACACATGAGATCTAATAATAACGCTGCAACTAGAAACAAATATTCTACGATACTAAACTACTTCTAAAATTTTCTAAGTCACAAAAGACTCAACCTAACTATCATCTATATTTGTCTAAGTGCTTCAGATATGTGGCCTTTGAGACACAAGCTTAGATAAGGAAAACAAACCTTTGCAATGACTAAAAATGGAAGAGATGTGGCATTTGAGGCTCTACTTGAGTACGTCTCTAAAAAGAAGATTGGAGGTACAATAGAAAGTACCTATCATAAGTCTCTAACAAGATCGACAAGAACACTACTGCACAACTCAAGAGCTAACAAGAGTCACCATAAAAGGTCATCTGATCTAACAAGGTAGGCAAGGAGATTCCTCACTTTAAATATAGAAGAATATAACATTTCTATTAGGGAGTTCAACAATATCTTTTGAGAGTCAATGCAGGATGAGAAGAGGATGAGCAAAGAATTCTGAGAAAGTTTTAGAGAGATGTGTTAAGGGGGACAACTCGTCATTTTAAATATAGAGGAATGTAGAAGTTCTAATTTGGAATTAACAATATCTTTTTAGCGTCAATGTAGGAAATGGAGAGGTTGAGAGTTTTAGAAAATTGTGTCATGGAAGAATATTGAAATGTGCTATAATTTTCTAGATAATTCTACAAGATGTGACAAGAGATATCATTTAGCTTATATTTAGAGTTCTAAAAAAATTACCTTACCATAGATATTACTTATATTATGTGAAAGCTTCATGAGTCCATTATAAATATTACTTGTATTTTAAGAGCAAAAACATATGTCGTTATAGACTTCAACCCACCTAAATTACTCTTTGAACTATAGTTCAATCTAATATATTTTTTATCTATCATCCATCTCCTCCAATATCTAACTATTATTTCTATCTTCCACCAAAATAACGTAAATATATTTGATGAAGGCATAAACCAACAAGATAAAAACAATGAAGGAAACTCAATTATGTTTCTCTGTACATTAATTATGAAGAAAAGTAAAATTTGTTTGTATATGAATCTTGTGATTTCATATGGTAATCCCATAAAATTTGTGAGATATTATACGCCGAACTCAAAGCATGCTTCACTTGAGAGATGTGAAGAAGTAGTGGCCTTGCCATATATTTGGGTGTCCTAGTGCATACTATGAAAAAATATATTTAAATACATTAATTTAAGATTCAATAAAAATTCTAAACTTAGTCCACATCTTAATCATCAATTCTAGGAAAATTCAATGGTTTAGATCTACTCACTAATTTAAACCATTAGATTTCCCTAGAATTGATGGTTAAGACATGGAGTAAGTTTAAAAAACTTAAAGTAGATCCCTCCCTAATATCCCGTAATTGTATAGAATTGCACCATTGTTATTCCCTTTATATACGGTTTTGGATTATTTACAATAATTTGCATCCTCTGTCCTCCATTTGCCACTGAGAAGAAGAACAACGCATTAACCACAGTTCAGAAGAAAAATAACACTCCATTTGCCTGCACTTAACGTATATGCTTATTTATTCAACTGTTTATTCTAATCCTGTTTCTGTTCTAATTTTGGGTCGTTTACATTCAAAGACGAAGCATTATTTGCTATAATTTTAAATCATTTGTTGGAAAAGTTTTTTATTCCGGATTCTTTCCTGTGCAATTCTCTTTAGTTAAGCATTATGCTTTAAAATATTAATTAATTAATGTTTTACATGACAGTCTATAATAATGTAATATTTATAGTAAATCTACCTAATCAATGGTCATGGTAGAGATTGAGTACTTCAGCAATCTTATCGACATCTTAAAGGTTTAAAAGTAAAACAAATAATTCAATTTTTTAATTGATATTGTTTTATTGAATGGACAAGAATGTTGACATAAAAGTAAAAATAAAATATAAAACAATAATGATGAATTTATTGCAATAGAAGGTGAGTAATGGTGAGATATCCATTAGGTGCAGAATTATTTAACGAGCGAGGCATGGGGCAGGCAAGCTTTCACAGGGTGCAGTGAGTGGATGGAGGAATCTTATATTATTATAGGATAAAACTTCCATAACATTATATACTAGTGGTATTTGTAACCAATTATAAACTGACATGTGGATATTTCTTTAACTCACCACTTAAAAAAGTTAAAGAAATACTTTACCTTTATGAATATTGATAATGAAAATTTTAATTAAACCACAATACATCAATTGTTCCTTAAAATTGATGGGAAAGGAGACTAAAAGCCTAAAATATGAAATGAAATTAAAACCCACAACGCAAGACAAATTGTGACTTCCAATTTTACCATTACCCAACCACATAGTCATCTTCTTCCTCCCAAAAGCTCTTGTCAATGACTTTAGCCAACACAATTCTAAAAATACCATTATTCACTCTAAGGAGTGAACCTTCACTTGTGGGGAAAGTGATAGTTCAATGGAACACGGTTTGAAGGAAGCCATAGTTGTGGAATAATTTTAGAAGGTACTGAGGAAAAATGTTTATGGTGAAAGAAGAAATGAGAAAAAATGAGGAGTTAACATAGTTAGAAAGTTAACACTTTGAATTGGTTGAGGTGGAAAAATATTTCCACATGTTAATTTATTATTGGTTACTTGTACCATTGGTACTTATACTACAATATGTAAGTTCAGTCCATTATTATATGGGGAGGAATCTACTAACTCTAAGAATAAGTGGAAAAATCTTACTACACATCTTAGTCATCCAATCTTGGAAAATCTAATAGTTTAGATATACTCACCAATTCAAACCATTGGATTTCCCAAGAATGAATGATCATGATGTGAAGTAGGATTTTTCTACTTACTCTTGGAGTAAGTGAATCCCTCCTCTTATTATATATTCCTCCATCAAATAAAGCAAAGATAATACAACACAAATTGTAAATTAGCTTGACCAACTGTTCTTCATCTTCGGGAACGTTGAACGGCTATCAAATTATTATTAAAAAAATAAATATTACAAGCTCTAGGACACCCATGAATCTGGGTCCATGAGGCGCTATTATTATTTTTGGTATTACTAAGGGTATCCCCTCACGTTATGAGTAAGGAACTAAATATTTCGCGATGCATGACTGTCATTCCCAACAAGTGTCACTCTCAGAAATCGAACTCTTGACCTTTTGGTCATCCTATGGATCTAACAATGTCTTACACCACTAGACCAACGTTTTGTTGGTTGATGCTTATAATTGGAGCATATATTTGGTACTCATTATAACAACTGACTTAGTCAAATATATAACATTAGTTTCTCTTATCCATTTCAATAGTAGGCGGTGTGAGATTTCATATAATAACATTTTTCGAGCATCCAACAATCTCCACTTTGATTGAAATAGACAAATATTTTGCTCCTTACAAAACCTATCCAAGAATCTTTACCTTACTGAATATCACGCTCTACCTTGTTCAATTCATAATAATCTTTAACAATTCTCCACAAAAGAGTCTTCTCTCCTTCAATATAAGCTTTTTTGAGTATCCTTCATAATGTTACCAAGAGCCTAACTCTCCAAACTTTTAGTGTAACTTATTGTACCACCGTCGAACATAACACACTGCAAAGCTTTTCATTACTAGGACGCCTTATGATATTGTGGAACTTCAACATCAAAGTTCACCAACTACCGCCTTCTTCAATAATTAGTCAAGTTGAACCTTGAAGCTTCTTTGGAAAGCCTCAACCACTACCATCATTGTCTATACTCACAATCATAGTTCAAAAGAACTATCATAATCCACCATAAGGAATATACTCACAACACATTGCATCAATTCCAACTAATGTTTGTGAAACATTCTTGCATCCAAATCAATGTCCATGTTTCACTCTACATCTCTACCAATGCTCTTGGTATACCTTGCATCCAATTAATCCATACTTGTGGTACACTCGACATCAAACTCAACCGATGTCCCTGTTTTTGTGTGGATCCGCTAGCAATTAATATCTTTTACCATCGCGATCACGTCATATAGATATTTCACTTCTCATCTTAAATGAGACCATCCTCTCCAACATCTAGAGAGATATTTTCAGCACCTGTCTCAGAGCATGACTCAACACCTGAATTCTTATCTTCACCTTGGTCTCAATCCAGTATATATGCTTTTGAGGTTTTTGATCCAACACAATTAAAGTCTACACCATGGTCCTACCATGTTTTGTTGCTTCTTAAACTCATCTAGTTTACCTTCATGCAATGCCTTTGACAAACCTTGTTCAGACAATACGTTTTCACCATCCTTTGCCATAATGCAAATTTACTAGTTCCATTGAACTTCTCCAATAAAAATTTGGCATTTGGGTTAAGATCCATCCATCAGTTGGCTCTAATAACAATTGCTGATGCAACAGAAGCGACAATTGCGCAATATTGGCCACAAGCAATCAAATAAAGGGCATAAAAATAAATATAAGAGAATAAGAATAGAAAATTTCTTAATGAGTTCAACCAGTTTTGCCTATATCCCCGAGAGTGTTGAATGACTATCAAAATATTATTATAGAATAAGAGTTACGAGGTCTAGTACACCCCTGGGTTTTGGGATGTTCTTAATTGATGCATGTATTTGGTGCACATTATAACAAGCGACTTGAGTCAAATATATAACATTAGTTTCTCTCATCCATTTCATACTAGGCAATATCAGACTTCATATAATAACATATTTCAAGCATTCTTAATATGTATCGTATATCAAATTTAGTGTACAACCTCATAAAATTAATGTAAAAAGTAATAAAATACTTAACTAAGTAAACCCTGTACTGGTATCACATACCAAGTAAATATGGATAGACATATCATCTCAAGTTGTACATATTTAATAATAGAATGACAACACACTAAATTTAGCATTTGCATCTTCAAACCACTTATTGACAATACAAAAAGTACTCATCCATTAAAATTTATGAAACTAACATTTAAATGATAAGAAAAAGTAATCAACCGGCTTTGCACAAATAATTATGTAATGATTAGTGAAGTATTAATATTAGAGATGGTTGTTTTTCACAAATTAAAAATATTAGTTAGGTTACATAATATATTATTGGCTGAGTCACAGACTATATCAATCTCTATAAGAGATTTTGTGGTACTACAAAAAATTGTACAAATATACTATTAAACATGATATCCCTAAAGATAAAATAGTTCAGCTCAATGTGAAAACCTTTCTAGAATTACACCCACAATATAGCTTCCACCCCTCAATAATATCCCTAATGCCAAACATATAAATATGACTACTATTATGCCTATTTCCACTCAACAATATGGCCAGTGCTGGTCAACAATATGGCTAATATCAATCAAAGAAAATAAAAATAAAAGAGATTCTTCCATTGAAAGAAAGGTTGTTTCCCCTCAAAATAAAGATGTTGCCCCGAAAAAACTAAGGTTAGTCCCCTATAAAATAA